ATTTATTTAATTTCCCCCCATATATGTGTGTATGTACAGTTTTATATATTTATGTGCGATTTGCACGAATGACCTCTTTGTGCGGCACTCTGAATGTCCACTTTTGTCGAATCTTTGCCATATTTTTTTCTTAGATTAGCAGACATCATGATGATGATGATGATGATGATGATGATGATGATGATGATGATGATGATGGTGGTGGTGGTGGACAAATTGCACATAAAATATACAAAGTTGTCAAATTAATACACAAAAGTTTAAAATTTTCTTAACACAAAGTTCTATTTATTCATACAAAAAATTCTGTAATTTCGAAAAAAAAAAATCATATAATTCCCTACTACATTAGACGTCGTTAATTTTGTTTTTAAAAAAATTTGATGAACGGATATTAACTGAGTTGGCAATTGGATTCATATACAAATTTGTTTGTTATTTTGTATATATGTTGTAAGAAAATTGGGCAAATAAAATGCGTACCCGAATCATGATCGTTTATAATCTCGGTTGAAATCACGTAATATTCTTCTTCGTCCAATTATAAGAACCAAAAACACAATTCCACTGTCCGAAAATAACCTTCCAAAAGATATGGTAAATATTCTCTCATATATATGTTTTTATTTATCTTATATCTCCGTCACCATATAGAGGAGATTTGTGTTATGTAGAAATATAAATATGTACGTCAAATAGATACACCTAATCCCAATAATTGTGTTCGTACACACACCATTTCTAAAGGTGTCATAACCATCATATATATATATATATACATAAAAATAAAATTTATGTACTAATTTGAAACTTTTATACAAATTTATATATTTATATGCGGTTTTCCATAAATAACAATATTAATTTATTGTTGTTGTTGTTGTTGTTTCCTTTTTCACCTTATTTCTTCATATTTCGTTTTCGTTTAAAAATACACCTTTTATTTTTTTAAAGCCAACATACACACACTTTTTATTTATCGAAAAAGGAAAATATAAATGGCCATTAATTTTTGGATCCCCACTTATCCTCTTTTTTTCACCTGTTCTTTTTTTTTTATGTATTATTTATACACAAAAATAATTAAAATTTTAAATATTATTTCCTTTAACTATTAACGATTACACTGATATAAACTCGAATATTGCCACTCATATAAATTTCTAATATATCAATTATTAGTTAATGATAAAATATATAAGCATTTCATATTTTATAACTAAATCAATTCAATAATAACTGCAATTCTTAATAAATAGAGCCAAATGAGAGACAAATGATTGGTTCAGTTCATTAATGGCGAAGTTGGGGGCCGAAAGTCCCATGCCCGATTAAGGGCATAAAGGTAACTTCATATGCTGAAGTTAGTCAAAGCTCGGTCGCCACGCCATTTGACGGAGTTGGAACAAGTTGGCCATTTTTACTCTCAAATTTAATAATTTTATTATTTAAGTTTCTTAATTGAGCAATATTTGGGACATTAATTAACAAATGAGACCTTTTATTTTAATTTCCAATATATTTATTGCATAGAATAGTAAAATTTTTCCAACATCCTTTTATTTTAATATCTCTTATAGGGTACTAATTCGATTTATTACCATTATAAATATCCATTAATAATTTAATAGGATACAATTACGGTGTAAACATTGAAAAAATAATTATGCAACAATATAAAAGTTTGATATATTTACTTTGGGGATGATATTATGATTTCTAATCAAGTGATATATTTTAAAACATAAACAATTAAAAATATAATACAGAAACGAAAATATCCGAAATTTTATGTTCAGAAAAAAGAAATTTAATTTCGATATATGTAAATTATGTGAAGTAGGAAGAGACAAAATAGCGAAACTTTCACAATCTCTCTCAGACGTCGAAATCAATGTGGGCTTAATTGATAAATTAATATTTTGGGGTCCAAATTGCACAAAAAGTACTAAGGGTGGGCTCCACAGTTTCGTTTTCAACCATGCAAATGCATTGTCTCTTCGGACGGACCACCTTTATTTTTTTTGCTTTGACTTTGACATCGACGATATTATTAGCTTCACAGGTTTGTCTTTTTATTTTCTATTTATCATATTTTTTTTACCGCACATATTTAATCTCCATTTATGTATATGCGTCTAAGAAAATTAATATTGAATTTGGTCTTCTCTAATTAAAGCTTCGAAACCCTAGATAATTCGCAGGGGTGTGTATATAAGATACTTCATAATATGCTCATATATATACATACATATATATATATATATATCAAGTTAAATACCGAGTCATAAGACGTCTTTTTTATGTTATTAACAATTTTAAAAAATTAACTTGAACCCAGTGTAAACTATTTTTCTTATAAGATCTTTTTTGTCAATTTAATGCATGGCTAATAAATTTATTTATTTCAGTGTAACCGAAACTCTATCATATTCATTATTCACCTTCAGATTTAAAATTAAAATGGTTTTTATGTTTTTTTTTAAGTTTGACCACCGGATCGAAAAACCGTGAGCCGACATGAAGGGTAAAAGAGTAACAGTGAAAAGCCACGTGAATTTCACGTGTTTCCGGGTCCATTTATTACCCTCACATGGAATTTAGTAACCGGCAAAAGCATTTACCCCTCAAGCACTTTTGTATTTTCCAATTTAATTCTGAAACCAAATAAATTTTTTTTCTTTAACAATAAATAATTTTTTAAGGGCCAGATTAAATTATCCAAAATTCATCTTAAGATACCAGACATAACTCTTCCTAAATAAATCAATATTGTTTTAATTATATTACCAATAGAATAAATTTAAATGTATAATATAAAATATCAGACACAACCCTTCTTAATTATAAAATAAATATTTTTTACTTTTAATGGAAATAAAAGATTATGGTATTGTTTTGGGTCAGATAAAAGAGGGTCACTTGATGTCTGTGATGTTTGCAGATAAGTGGCTCTTCTTCTCTTCACATCCCTTTTTTTCAATTATTTTATTTAATCCCAACAATTCAAATGATACATCTAATCAAATCATAATCAAAATGACATAAGTACTTTAATAAAGTAACTTTTTCAATGTATAAATATTTTCAATAACCATACCCAAATTAAATAAGTGGTGATTCCCTTTCATAATCAAGGCTTGATTAATGTGGCAATTTGACCAATTTTTAGGTATAAAATTGTCTTCTTCTTTTTTTTGTAAAAAAAAAAGGCACTATATCATATCATTGGATTTAAAATAATAATAATTGTTAGGTTTTGTGTTCATTTTATTCGAAATATATGTATAATACCTAACAAGAATATTTTATAAAATTCATTATTTTTGTTTTTAAAAAAAGGTTCCAACATAAGAATGTTAATATATTCCGAATAGTTTACATATATATATATATATATAAATCATATTTGATTAGGTGTGTGCACATATCTCTCTATTCACACCAAATTTATTTTCAGGTCATGTAAATATTTTGTGTCATCCATTTGAGGTGTCAAATCTGTTTTGTAGTTTTCATTTGGATTATATATACCAATACAAACATACATAAACAATTAAGAATTATTACCAAAAGCTACTCATTGGGCCTTAAGGCCCAAATTATAATCTAAAGATGGACTCAGTAGCCCATTATAACTAACTAGAGATGAGTTCAGCAGCCCCATGATAAAATGACACTTTTTGTTTCAGTTAAACTGTCAGAATTTTTTTATTTGAACCATAACAATGGTTAGGATAAATATTTCAATTTTAATACATAATTATAATTTAATTCACAATTAATTAATTTAAAATTTTCTAACATAAATGAATCTAATAGAAATAATATAAGGTGTAAGAAAAAGATTTGTTTAAAATAATAAACACTTTTGAAAAATCCGACATTAAAATCGTATGAATATTTTGTTTCTTTTAAAATAAATTTAAATTTAAAAAATAACTTAACCGTACAAAAAAATAAAGAATATCCGCCAATAGAACATGCCTCTTCTAATTAGCCAATATTATTTTCGATCTTGAAAAAAAAAGATAACAACGGAAAATAATGATTTAAAAAGTACAAATTCAGATTACTTGGGTACAAAGCAAAGAGTTACGATTTCTTGAAAGAAACTCTACCAACGAGTGCACCCTCCAATATTGCATTGCATCATAGTGGACCGTTTGGTGCAACATACAAGAATAAAAAATAAAAATAAATAACAAGAATCATTGGTGGTTTCAACATTTTGTCATATAAACTATGATTTTACGACGTATGCTTTTCAGCTATTTTTGGAATATTCATTTCGATATGTACCATATGGTGTGTGTATGGTGATACCTGCTTGCAAATTGTTGGTCCGTTATCCATTCCATAACACACCACATGCACATTGCACATTTTTAAAGCTTTTTCTTCGATGGGTCCTTTTAATCAATACTTACATATATATATATATATGTGTATATGATCTTTAAAAAAAAATATTTTTCTGTTTAATATATGTCAAAGCTCTCCTATTATACTTTTATATGTGTGCATATACATATACATAATTACATACATACATACATATATATATATGCTAATTTATCAAGATTAGTGGATTTTAATGATTGGATGGTTGCTTTTTGTGAACGTTGATATAATTAGGACAAAAATAAGAAAACACGTGGCAAAGGAGTTACAGTCAAACCTTGTTTTGTCCGTACGCTGCTTTTAATATTCCCCATGCTAAATTATCTGTAACGAACTAATTACCCAAAACTCCACTTGGATTTCTACATCTCCACGTCAACCAGTAACTAATGCTATTACATATTATTATTACGGTAATTATAAGTTACTAATTTTAATGTTGACAATACGGTTCGCCTAATTAAAATGATTTATATGACTTTGTTTAATTAAAACCGTAATTAATATTGTAATATACGTAATTAAGCTATTAACTAACATATATAAATGCCCTCTCTCCCTCCCTCAACGATCACCTTCCAAATTACTCTCTTCCTTTTCCTTCGTCTATCAGAGGAAACACAGAGATGATCATTCTCTCTCTCCTCCTCCATCTTCTTCTCCATCTCCAAAACCCTAGTCTCTCACTCTCTCTCTCCTCAGATGGAATCGCTCTACTCTCCCTTAAATCCTCCGTTGAACAGCCTCCCGCCAGCTCCGCCTTCTCCGACTGGAACGAGAACGACGCCTATCCTTGCCGGTGGTCCGGCGTCTCCTGTATGAACGTCTCCGGCTCCGGTGACCCCCGTGTCATCGGACTCGACGTCTCCGGCAAGGGACTCCGCGGCTACATTCCCTCCGAGCTCGGCTCCCTCGCCTTTCTCCGCCGTCTCGACCTCCATGACAACGAGCTCTACGGCTCCATCCCCACTCAGCTCTTCAACGCTACCTCGCTTTACACCGTGTTTCTGTATGGCAACAATCTCTCTGGTCCTCTGCCTCCTTCGACCTTTAGCCTCTCTAGGCTTCAGAATCTCAATTTGGCGGGTAATTCTCTCTCTGGAGCTCTCTCGCCGGATCTGAGGAACTGCAAGCAGCTGCAGCAGCTGATTCTCGCTGGTAACAACTTCTCCGACGAGATTCCGGAGGGAATCTGGCCGGAAATGGAAAACCTCGTTCAGCTCGATCTCTCTTCCAACGAATTCACCGGCCCAATCCCTAGCGATCTGAATGAGCTCAAATCTCTCTCCGGTACTCTAAACCTGTCATTCAATCATTTCTCCGGCGAAATCCCCAAATCCCTTGGAAATTTAGCGGTCACAGTCTCTCTCGATCTCAGGAACAACAATTTGAGCGGCGAAATTCCCCAAACTGGATCGTTTTCCAACCAGGGACCAACCGCATTCCTCAACAACCCAAATTTATGCGGGTTCCCTCTCCAGAAATACTGCAAGGACGTCGATAACCAGAGCTCTCCGGGAACTCAGAAATCGTCCGCAGCCAAAACAGGGCTGGGTGCCGGCTCGATCGTCTTGATCTCCGCAGCCGACGCCGGTAGCGTAGCCCTAATAGGAATGGTGATCGTTTACTTGTGCTGGAAGAAAAAAGAGGCCGACGGAGGCTGCAGCTGCACCGGCAACGACAAACTCGGAGGCTTGGAGAAGGGAAAACTCTGCCTATGCATCACCGGGCTCCCCAAGGAAGATGATTCGGAGATGGAAGACGACAACGGGATATCATCGTCATCGCCAAATCGGAGAGGAGAAGGAGAATTGGTGGCGATGGACAAAGGGTTTGCGTGTGAGCTGGATGAATTGCTGAGGGCATCAGCGTATGTGCTTGGGAAGAGTGAGATGGGGATAGTGTACAAGGTGGTGGTCGGCAATGGTGTTCCAGTGGCCGTGCGGCGGCTCGGGGAAGGAGGAGAGGAGAGGTACAAGGAGTTCGTGACGGAGGTTCAGGCAATTGGGAGAGTGAAGCATCCCAATGTCGTGAAGCTTAGGGCTTATTATTGGGCTCCTGATGAAAAGCTTCTCATCTGTGACTTCATCAACAATGGCAGCCTCGCAAGCGCTCTCAGAGGTAACAGTTTTCTGACACGAAACGATTCAGATATAGGATCCATGATTACAGACATCACAGACCGAATTTCGCAGGGAGGAATGGTCAGCCATCGGCGAGCATGACATGGTCAACGCGTCTGAAGATAGCGAAAGGAGCCGCGAGAGGAATAGCATACCTCCATGAATGCAGCTCAAGGAAACTCGTCCATGGCGACATCAAACCCTCAAACATCCTCCTCGACTCCACCTTCAACGCTCTCATCTCTGATTTCGGCCTCAACCGCCTCTTCACTATCACCGCCGCCTCCGGTGGATCACTTCCGTACACCACAACCTCTTCCAAGTCCTCGGCCGACAGATCGTACGGATACAAAGCCCCAGAGGCACGAATCCCCGGAAACAGACCGACTCAGAAATGGGACGTGTACTCGTTCGGGGTCGTTTTGTTGGAGCTTTTGACGGGGAAGTCGCCGGAATCTTCGCCGCCGCCACCGGCAACGAGTACTTCGGCGGTGGAAGTGAAGGATTTGGTGAAGTGGGTGAGGAAAGGGTTGGAGGAGGAGAAGCCATTGTCGGAAATGGTGGATCCGATGTTGATCCAGGAAGTCAACAACAAGAAACAAGCAATGGCCGTCTTCCACGTGGCGTTGGCTTGCTCCGAAGGCGATCCCGAAATACGGCCTCGGATGAAGAACGTCTCCGACAACCTCGTCAAAATCTTCATTTAGCCCAAAATCAATTTTCCATCAAATTTTTTTATCATCATTACTCGAAAATTAGGAGTTCACATTTAAACAATAAAAAATAAAATATATGAGTCAATGAAAATTAAAGAATCTCGTTTCAAGAAAAAAAAAACTTAAAACCATATCACCAATTTTTCAAAAAAATGGAATTAATTTATATGTATTTTTTTTAAATTACACACTTATATCAATTCGCCCGATCAATTGGTCGTCACGCAATTTCATAGATACGCCGCGAAAAACAACGGATTGATTTAATAACAAGCGTCAGTAATCGTGGAACATGAGAAATCTAATGAAATTTTCCACTTACATTGCTATAATTTATAGTTTAATAAAAGGACCAACATATTTCAATTTAAAAAAGAGTTTTAAAACTCTAAAACAGTAATAATCACAAATTGTTAATAATTTATATTTAATCTCAATCACAACAATTATCAATTAATTATTTTTGAATCACAAGATCTCGTATTAACCGTAAACAAAGTGATACAAGTATTATCCTTAACTTCGTCTTCAACCACTATTATTATTTTTGAAAAAAAATCTGTAAAGATCCTTATATGTACAAAACAATCACAAATTCAAATGGATTATTAACTCTATCATATATGTACATATATATATATATATATTTGACATTGATAATTGCGAATATTAAATTTTAATTAGAATTTTTAATATTTAACTAATGAAATGCGTTTTTGAGCAAAAAACGCCAATCGGCGTCAAGCAAATGGGTTTATCATAGTCCACTCCACCATTGTTTCCCTGAACCCATTTTCCTCGATTTCACTTCTCAACAACACCAGAGCAATCTCCCTCTTACCTCCGTCGTCGCTTGGTTTCCGTCTCCGGTACTCCGATCATGGCCGGAGCTAGCCGGAGGGGCGGACGCGGCCGCATCAAATCCCCGTCCACCGCCGAAGATGACGGCGATTCGCTTCGTCGGCCCGCGAGTATTCGCCCAGGCAAAGGCAAGGATCTGACGTCGATCCGGGTTTTCAAGGCGAATCTCAGGATACTAATCGGTTTATGCATACTGGGAATTCTCGGCATCTACTCCGTCAGTCGTGTTGTTAACATCGGGTTTGATGGTGAATCCCAGACGCCTAGGGTTATCACGCCTTTTCCTGCTCCCAAACTCATGGACTTGCCCATGGTATTCGATTCACTACCCGCTCGAGATCTCTTCTGTACGTTTTGAATTGCTGTAGGTGGAAATTGATTGGATTTTGTTTTTTGTGGGGTTATTTGCATTACGGATCAGTTCCAAGGAGAGCACAAGGAGAGCTTGTATTGGGGGACTTATCGTCCTCATGTTTATTTTGGAGTTCGAGCCAGGTATGGATTTCTATTGCGAAGGAAAATGTTCGGGAAATTGGGATCACATTTTGGCTGATGGATATATGCTGTAATTGGCTAATTTTCTGGAAGATGGAATGATTCTAGAGTGATTTAGCAATAGAAAATTCTAGGAAATCATCTCTCTAATGCGTTCTCGGTGTAACTTCACTCAAAAAGAGTAGCTTTTACTTATGTTTTGTTTGTCAAGAAGCTATATGAATCAGTGATCAAGGTTCAATAGAATGAAACAGAGTGGAAGCAGAGGGAAAAGGGTTACACATACACTTTTCCGTCTCGCAGAATTCTTTCCTCTTCCTCTTTTGTCATGTTAAGCATTGAAAGCTAGCGGCTTTTTTCTTTTGTTTTCTCTGAGAATTCAAGCAAATAATTCATAGATGGAAATTACAGAACTCCTCAGTCCCTGGTTGGTGGCTTGATGTGGATTGGCGTCAAGGATGGGATGTATGTTATGCGGCATTTCTGTGAAAACTCTGATGACTTAAGTTCATATGGCTGGAGAGAACATAATGGACGTGATTTTGGGCGGCAAGAGCTGGTTGAACAAGATATGATCTTGGAAACAAGTTTCTTGAAGTCGAAGAGGGACAGCCTCGGCTATGGAGGAGATTGGGCTGTTCGAATTGATGTGAAGAACAATAGGTAAATGGTGTTTTTTACTTGTATATAGTTATTCTCTTTTTAAGTGTGTAACAAATCATAATATTTGCATAGATACCGTTGATGCTCTTATTTCATGGTGGCTTAAAAAAGTTTCCTTTTTAAACATGCTCGGGTTGAGCTAGGTCGAATGATGAAGCAAAGAAAAGCGCACACCTCTTTTTTTATTTGGCTGATGAAGCTGGCAATGCTCTAAATCTAGGCCAAAATACACAGAACTCTCAAGAGAGTTATCTTTTAGCTTCAGGTTCACGTTCAGATGTAGGAGACTGGCAGATACACTTAAAATCACAGGTAGTATGTGATTTGAAGTTTGTTTTACTGATCCTGGAAATGCAAAGACAATATAGTATTTCCATAACTAGCTTTGCTGGAAGTAGGTGGATTTATGTATGATCGATATTTTCTGTCATGTTTCTTGTCGCCTCGGCTGATTCTAATACGAATCTAACATTTTTTTTAACTGTTCTTCATCTGCAGAATCATATGGAAACACATTATTCTGGTTTCAGGACACCTCACATTCACAATTTGTCTGATCTTGTTCAGCAAAATCTCGGCGTACAGGTCTGCTAGTTTTCTACATCATAACTCAAGTTTGCAAATTCATTGTAGCTGGCTTTTTAGTTCTTTTAGGGGGACACTGTGCTTATGGATCTCTCGAGTTGTATGTTATTAGGCAAAGAAGCTTGGAAGACTTCAGCTCTCTGACACAACAGAGGAGGCTTCCAACATTTATGTTTTTCAGGTATTCAGTCTTGATCGAGATGTGATTTTCCTTTATTTGCTCTAGTGATTTTATGATCAAAATCCTTTGTTTTCTCACATGTACAATATCTTCATGCAAATGCAGTTTTCTGCTATGCTCCCATTCACGATAGATATTGCTTTTATCTCTGGGATCGGAGGAGAAAGCTCAAGTGTGGAAAAGCGTATAACGAGTCTCACAGGTATGATAATCATCCTGTATTGCTGAGCATGATTGATGATTAACTTGAGTTTGCTGAACATTGAAATCCAATGTCAATCTGTCCAGTCAAACCGACTTCAATTGGGGAATATAACCGGCATTTCACTTTGACTGTAGAAGGAAATTCTCTCTGAAGGTTTTTGAGAGATCTAATTTATGGTTTAGTTTCTTCGCCGTTACGCTAATTTCCCTTCTTTATGTCGTACAGGTTCAGCACTCAGTACTGAACTTGAGGAGAAACACAGAGAATTCGATGCAAAGTTCAAGGAGCGCTTTGACCTTTCTGAAAAGGTGTGATTTTCTATGCTGGCTATGTTCGCTTATGCTCGGTAGATGATCTTCAGCTCGTACAAAAATCCTGTTTTATGGATCATCTCCTAATCAGTGTCATTGGTGTACTTTTATTTGATGATGATCTGTGTATATCCAGTCGGATATTGGCGGAAGTAAAAGATCTGAATCTTGTTGCCTTGTGGTTTCAGCTGGATGACAAGTCCTTACTTGTTGGTAAAACTGCAATTGGGAATATGCTCGGTGGGATTGGTTACTTCTATGGCCAATCAAAAATTGCTGTCCCTAAAAGTACTCAGGTGAGTTTTTCTATTGCTTATTGTGTCTCAAAATGTAGATTTCTTCTTGGTATATGATATATCCACCCTTTTACAAGTCACCTTGTACCTCTGACAGAATCATACAATTTCGATTTTTGTTTGCAGTACAAAAGTCCTGATAATTTCCTGCTATATTGGCCAGCCGAGTTATATACAGCCGTTCCAAGCCGACCTTTCTTCCCCAGGGGATTTTTGTGGGATGAAGGTTTCCATCAACTGTTGATCTGGTTCGATCGTTATTGTTCAATATAAGTTGAAGATTTTGCTATATGCTACTATTTTTCACTTGTTATTGTGCATGTTTTTCTTTTTTAAAGAGAAGAAAAGTTACTGGGCATAGTCATACCCAGTCATTTGATCATTTTTTTGAGGTTTGGTGTATGCATGAGCAGGCGGTGGGATTGGCGTATAACCTTGGATATTATAGGACATTGGTTAGATCTATTAAATATGGATGGATGGATTCCACGTGAACAAATTTTGGGTGCTGAAGCTCTAAGGTATTTTAGAATATTTTCTTACATTATGGGATAGATTTATGGGCATGTTTTTTTTTGTCAAGAGCATTATTTTCTGAAATTTCGGTTAACTGCAGTAAGGTTCCAGAGGAATTCGTCCTCCAGCATCCAAGTAACGGCAATCCACCAACCCTATTTTTGGTGATACGTGGTAACCATTTTTAGCTTTATAACTCGATTCACCATTTGTCTTCTTTTTCTCGGTTCTCGTATTTCATTGGAAGTGTAGTACTGCTGCAACATATCATAATGCCACAACAAATTAGGCCATTAATTGTATCATTGATATTCTGTTCCTAGAATAGGACTTTATCAGCCCATTTGCTCCAACACTGTGAGAATGCTTTCACCTTGATGTTCTCGTTACTCATAAGAAACAAGAAAAGGTTGCATGAAAAAATAATCAAGGTTTGAAAACTGAAAAGTCCATATAACAAGAGAGTATTCTATAGTTATGGTGTCTTTATGTTCTGTTTTCCAGATCTCTTAGATGGTATAAAGACAGAGAAATTCAATGCCGGAGAAAGAGATGAAATTTTGACGTTCCTTGATCGTGCTTCTGTTCGATTAGATGTGTGGTTTCAATGGTTTAATACTTCCCAGATAGGTAATGACAAAAGGTTTTCTTGCCCTGCTCGTTGGGCAATCGTGGCTTTACTGCTCTTGTCCAATCTTTATGCCAATCATATGTTAGTTTACTTGTCCGTGAGCTCAACTATTGATCTCCCATGGTGCAATTGCAAACAACAGCATATTACGTTCTTTCTTAACTTTCTGAGTGTTGTTACAACTTACTTACTCTCTGAAATAAACTATTTCGTGTTTGGTGATATGATCATTGACTAGGGAAGGAGGTTGGTAGTTACTTTTGGCATGGCAGAGACAGCATGACAATACGAGAACTAAACCCTAAGGTACTATTTTTCTCGGTATCTCGTGATCGATGTGCTCTCCTATCAACAAAATTTATACTGCTCTTGTGATTCTTGATGGTAACTGACCTTTTGAGTTTGCCTTGAAACTTTCGTCTGTTACTTATAAATATTGGACTTCGGTAAATGAGTTGGACAGATAATTAAAGATAGGTTTTGTTCTTTTTTTCGAATTCTACAGACATTGTCATCTGGGTTGGATGATTATCCTCGTGCTTCACTCCCCAGTGAAGATGAACGTCACGTGGACCTTAGATGCTGGATGCTCCTTGCTGCAGATTGCATGAACTCCATCACAGAGTTGCTAGGGAAAGAAGAGATATCGTCAAAGGTTAGAATACATTAGGAGGAAATAGCTATTTTATCTCATTTGTTCTTCAGGTCTAAAAAAGTCAAATCTTGCAGGATTACAGCACGACGGTTAAGCTACTTTCAGATTTCAATCTTCTGAATCAGGTTTAAGTTCACCTAGAAGGGCTTCGATTATAGCAAACAGCAGATGTTCTCCTTTCTCTGGGTTTTTGAGTAATCAAAATCATCCTTTCATGGCTAATTTTCTGAACAGATGCACTATGATCATGAACACGGGGCTTACTTCGACTTTGGAAATCACACGGAAAAAGTATGGAAACTTTTGTTTGATGAATTCATTTCACTTATAACTATCTATGTTCTACAATCGAGAATATATGATTCCCAGGTTCGGTTAGTTTGGAGAGAGGAAATCAGAGAAAACGGTTACCTGACTCGAGAGCTTGTGAGGGAGACTCTCGAAACTCCGAAGCCAAGATTCGTTCCTCATGTCGGTTATGTCAGCCTGTTTCCCTTCATGTCTAGAGTCATCCCACCTGTGAGTTATCGCACAACCATTAACCAATCTTCCGGGAACTATAATCACTGGCGACTAAATCATCGCTTTCTTTGGTTTGCTTCAATGAAGGATTCTCCGATCCTCGAGAAACAGCTTGATCTCATTTCAAACAAGAGTGTCTTATGGACAAACTATGGTTTACGTTCGCTCGCCAAAACTAGGTAAGCCAAAAACATGAAAATGCAGTTGTCTAGTTTACTTATGCATCCACAACTGGAGAAGAATTCATCGATTGAGCGAATGCCCACTCGTCTCGACGCAGTTCCATATACATGAAACGTAATACCGAGCACGATGCACCATACTGGAGAGGACCCATCTGGATGAACATGAACTACATGATCCTTTCTTCCCTGCACCATTACTCTAGAGGTACCTCCCCTGAACCCCCATTTCTTCCGAAAAAACACACCCTCGTCTCCGTCATAAGATCTTTGTGGTAAATACAGATCTCTTGAGTAAATTCTTTTTCTGCAGTGAATGGGCCGTACAGTGACAAGGCAAGAGCTATTTATGAGGAATTGCGAGGGAATTTGATAAGGTGTGCATACCAATTTTATGTTGTATACGTGAAGAATATGAACTCAGATGGCAGTTTGAAAGATTTTGTAAATCACGTGTTTGTGTCTGTGTGTTGATGCAGGAATGTGGTTGGGAACTATTACAAGACGGGGTACATATGGGAGCATTATGATCAAGTAAAGGGAACTGGGAAAGGAGCTCGCCTCTTCACAGGTTGGTCCGCTCTTATCCTCCTGATTATGTCCGAATCTTACCCTATTCTTTAGAACCACCCTCCCCTCTTTTCCATCTGCCTTTGTATCAGATGAACACAAAACCAAGAATGATATAAGCTTAGCTACTAGGGTGGGTTCATGTGAAAGAGTTAGAGAGGAACGAACGATTAAGGGTTTAGGGAAATGGCAGATTCTTTACGTCTGTCACTCGGCCGCCATTTCTGTATCTCCATATCATATCCTTGATATGACACTCTGTTTATGAAAGGAAAAAATATATCCAAATCCCAAAACAGAACATAACGTTACAGTAGTATCTGCTGTCGCTCTCAAACTCCTCACGGTATAACGAGACGAGACGATTGCGTTGTGTTCGGGCCAAATCCGCCGGCCGCGGGCATGGACGGACGGAGTGACGAGCAAGTCGTGCTCGACGATAATCCCACCCTTAGGCCTCGGCTATCATTTGGCCTCATTACTGTTCGATTTTTTCTCGCTTCCATACACACATACATGAATCACCATTCTTTTAAACGAAATGCCGATAAATTTGTCAGAAAGATACTGCAGACAAACTGAAAGAGACATTTCTGAGTCTGTTGATTACAGGTTGAACGTGTATCGCCCAAGAATCCATTCGTCAGTTCACAACTACAAAATTTTAAAAAAAAATAACAGCAGAAACCACTGATCATCAATCAGAATACCCCATTATTAACAGAGTTTGTCATCTGTCCTAAAATGATCCCTTTTGTTTCTACTTTGAATCAAACAGAGAGTATTTGCATGAACACATAAAACTTGAATCGAAATCGAAACAGTTCCTTGGGATTCATACCACCGGGAAATCATCGGTGGAGATACGCAGAAACGAAAAAAAAAGGAGAGGGTTTATTTTTCCTCAGGCAGCGATTGAAACGCTGCAGAGGCAAGAACCAGATGGTTTGATATCAGAAGTTTTCCACTCGGAGCCAGGATCGGCTTTCGGGTCATAGAGTAAGGTGCTGAAACTGGTTTCTTCCTGCGACGGAAACAGCAGAAGCTTACCGCCCAGCTTACCCAACTGAAACCCAGCCCTCGAGCTTCCCGATAACGGCAGAGCCACCGCTTCCCATGAATCCTCCTCCGGTTTAAACACCAACATCTTCCTCTGGTTCTTCCACTGAATACAGAACAGCTTCTCCCCCATCACAGCATGAGCAGTCACCATCTGTGGATATTCATTTTCCAAGAACCCGAGATCAGTGATCTGTGATTCCCTCCCTAAATGTCAATCTTGTTTTCTAATCGATGCCCTCATGAGTACCCGGATATCAAAAGAGATACTTTTGTATGTTAATCGTCAAAATGATCAAGTAGGAGGTTTTCATGTATTGACTTACAGTCAAACCATTCTTGCTTTCGCGCCAGGAGCCGCATTCGGGGTCGTAAACATCAACAAACTTTGAGTTGCCGATTGTGAAATTGGATCTCCCGCCCATTACGTAAAGCTTCCCGTCGAAACCACAAGCGAAACAGCCCCATCTGGGACGCCGGAGGGATTCTATGAGGGTCCATTTGCTGGTCTGTGGGTCGTAAACCTCAGCACTCGAGAGACTTTCTCCGTCTATTCCGTGACCTCCCGCTACATAAATGAGGCCGTTCACCTCGGCACAAGCAAAGTCCTGGCGAGCTACATTCAGTTCCGAGAGTTTGCTCCAGCTGATATCACAAAGTTCCACATTTGCAAAAACTCAGTACGACAGAAGCGAAACAATAAAAAAAGACAACGCCGAAACCTTAAGAAACACGGGCGTGAAAATACAGGTTAACCGAAAGGATGAAGTAGTTGACAATCTTATTTAAAGCTAAACAGAAAGATCAGAAGACGATCACTCCAGCAAATCATTCATTTATGGATTTAAGAATGAAAACACGAAACTTTAGTTCATGGCTACTGATGTAAGTACCATCAAGATTCATGTGTATAATATTTCTATAATGATTCGAGGCACAAATTTGTCTATAAATTCCAAATAAACTCATCACTAAATCTTTGTTTTGCATTCCTACAGAAGATATTAAGGATGTATAAATGGAGGAGAGTATCTTAGGAGAATAGACGGGCGACGACGTACCTGTTGAGGCAAGAATCATACTGATAAACATCGGATGATGCAACACGAGCACCATCGATCACAGAGTAACCGGCAACGACAAGAAGCTTCCCGTTAAGGACAGCCACTCCAAATCCAGATTTTGTGGGACCAGGCATCGATGGAAGACATGAGAGTTTATGTCCCGACGAGTCCATAACCTCCCAGTGGCTTTCTTTCCCATCAATGTCCATTGTTAAGACATAGAGCCATTCCTCAAGAACTCCGGCTAATTTCCTCACAGTGATGAACTCTTTGCTTTGCATAAAGAACCTCCATTTCCTACAGACACTTCCCATGGATGGGAAGTTGGCTCGTGGAACAAGCGCGAGACAGAGTTTTGCCACGTCATCAGGCAATCCAGGAATCAGAGGGTTGCCTTGAAATTTTTCAGACACCCGGGAAGATAAACGTAGGTTGCCTTTCGAGAAACACATGCTCTGACCCACAATCCTTTTCTTGCCACTTACAAAACAATGCATCTTCTAACGGTTTCACACGAGGAAAAAGGATCAAACTTGATGATAGCCCTCTGTGGCTTCAGTCGGATTCAAGTCGTTGTATCTCCAAAGAATGCCTAACAAATATTGTATCGGATGACAAGGGCCTACTAAAGAAACTCGTGAAACCCGTCACCTATAGGAATTTTCAAAGACCAAGGAATAAAAGATGCCGAAGAACAGATTACTGTCGCAGTCACTACTGATGAATTTTGATTCCCAGTCCAGTCCAATTCATATTCCATACCCAAATCTTTGCTCCTAAAGTAGCTACACTCGACGATTCTTCTGAAATTAGAACCGATTCCTCTCACACACATATCCAAATCTACAACCACGAGGAAAGATTTGTCAAACAGAGAATCTATTTTCGCCTTCAAAAGTCGAGTCTCAAAGATTACAGAGCACAGAAGGAAAGAAACATAACATACCAGTGAAGGCCATGCCAGACTGCAAGGTTTAGCCTCCAGTAACATCCATGGCCGGATCTTTTATACTTCTGAAATTTCCAGACAGAAACAACCATCATAAGGTAACCCTTCAAACCGAATCAAGAATCAATAATATCGACATCAAGAAAAGTCAAATCTACAGCGAGAGAGTGTCGCAAGAAAAATTTAACAAATTCAACAGGAAATTAATGAGTCAGAAGGCAAACACGAAAAGGATTCATTGGCTATATATATGACACTTTCGAAAGGAGGAGGTAATTAACATATTCCAGACCCAACAGAGAATCCAGTACAGTTTCACATGTTGTAAGAAAATCCAACACCATCTGTTCATTTCACTTTGAACTTTGAAGCGATTCCCATGGTGCTAAAGTAGTGCCCAGAATGGTTAGATCTCAACATCGAAACAGATATACAAAAGAAAGCAATAGCATTCAATACCCAAAACAGGAGCTGAATTCAACTAATCGTGGAAAAAAAAGTTTAAGAAAAAAAAAAGCAATTGAATTTTAGGGAAAAGCCCAGAAAACTTGAAAGCGTAATACACATATACGTGTAAGAATCGAACAATGGAGTGACTTGCGGAGGTCACAGACCTTAAGGGTATGATCCATTTTCCTGGGGAAGAAAAAACAGAAGGAAATTTCTGCACAAACAATCTAAAATGCCTACAGATTTATACGATTTAGAGCGGGGAGAATGGAGGTAAGAATTAAGATGGCAACAGCTCAACGGAAAGAGGATAAAAAGAAGCGAAAAGGGAGGAATTAACAGATAAAATTATCCAGGAAAAGAGGAAATTCTTACCAAAAAACTAGGATCTTCGTGTTCTCGAGCAAAGGAAATAATAATACAGAGACAGAGAGACCTGACGATGAACGTACTACAGCGAGAAATTAGGGCTTATATAGGAAAAAGGAAGATAATAATGTCAACTCGCCACCACGTCACTCGTCTATATGCTCCCGATATGATGGAATAATTGATTTTTTTTTAGGAAATTTAATATATATTTTTTATGTGCCAAATTAAATTTTAAAAAAATGAAGCCAGAGAGTAATTATCTCGTGTGACAGGGTGCACATGAAATCGAATCTCTATTGTCTGTCGTAAAAAAGGTGGGTCCCAGTGGCAGGTGGTGGAATCTATACGCCATTTTCGTCGCCATGTTTTTTCTTTTTATTTCAATTTCTTCCGATAAATTCTCGATCAGATAAAATTTCGTTTTTGTTTTAGACGCAGTACCAACGCATCCGAACAAAAACAAAATTTACAAAATCTCTTAAAAAAAATTGCATACTGTACTTTTTTTTTTTTCTAAATATTCAAACTATCTTTCACAATATTTCTCTATAATTATGCGATAATCCATCTTTTAAAAATCGGTACATTTTATTATTTACTTTTTTTTTTCTTCAATATTTTCTCTATCTCCTCTACTTTTTGCAGTTTATCTAATATATACAAATACTCTTCTGGTTGATTTCTTTTTCTATGATATTCTGATCATTTTCTTGTGTTTACACAAGGCGTTTGATGAAATGTATATAACAGAAAACTATGGAAAATAACCTGCGGTATGCGGTAAATGATCTATAGTCTACGATAGATGACTTGCGATAAATGACATATGATATGCAGAAGATGACCTGCAGCCTACGGTAGATCACATGCGGACTGCAGGATATCACCTGCGACACCTACGATACTTACGGCCTACGGCACCTGCGGTACCTGCGATCTGCTGCAGGTCACCTCTGGCCTGCGACAGGTCACTACGAACATAATGCAAGTACGACTATATAATTAACGTTAACTATGACCGTAATTTTACTACGAACTAATATAAATACGACTATTTAATTAACGTTAACTATGACCGTGATTTCACTACGAATATTATGCAAATACGACCATATAATTAACGTTAACTACGACCGTGATTTCACTACGACCAGATAACTATAATCGTGATTATACTATGAATATAATGCAAATATGACTAGATAATTAACGATAACCACGACCGTGATTACACTACGAATATAATTCAAACGCGACCGGATAATTTACGATAACTATGACCATGTCTGTTTACCTATTTTCTCGATCCTTTTACTGATTGGACCAGATCTTCTCGTCTCTATCTCCTTGCGATTATATGATAACCTGTCTTTTAGAAATCAGTGCATTTTGAGATTTGTACTTCTGTTTTCTCCAATATTTTTTCTCTCTCCTCTATTTTTTACAGTTTATCTCATCTACACAAATACTCTTCTGGCTGATTTCTTTTTTTGTGGTATTCATATGATCATTTTATTTTTTGTACACAAGGTGTTTGATAAAATTCCCGAAAACAAAAACTGTGGCAAGTTCCAGCATGTGAACTACGGCCTACAACAGGTCACATGCGGTTTACAGCAGGTCAACTGCGATATGCGACAGGTCACCTGCTAACCTGCTGACCTGATAATCTGCTGACCTGCTGACCTTTTTTTTTGCACTAAACTCATGCAAGTGTTTTTCTATACTTATAGGAAAAAAAATCCATACAATTATTTTTTTATGTATATAGAGGAAAACAAAATTCATGCAAGTCTTTTTTTTATATATGTAGAAAATCTGCAGGTTATAATAATATAGAAAGATATAATGGTCATTTTATCTTAAAAAAGTATAGAATACAAAGACATTTTTTTTGTACATTAGTGCAAATTTTCTCTTTGTTGTTTTATCATACCTGCATCATGAACATACGCACCATCTTTTTATGTGATGATAAACAATTTTTTTAGTGGCCATTCGATATCATATGACAATCACTACTAGAAAATACGGAAAAGGTGACGCAAAAGGTGACGCAAAATTTGCGTCACTAAAATGGTACGCAAAAGTGACGTAAATAGTGATGCAATATTTTCGTCACTAATGCGTCACTAAATAGTGATGCAATATTGACGCAAATAGTTGCGTCACTAAAATGTGACACAAAAAGTGACGTAAAATTTGCGTCATGAAAAAAGGTGATGCAAGAGTGACGTAAATAGTTGTGTCACCCTTTTGGTGGCGCAATTTAGTCACCTTTTAGTGACGCAATTGCGTCACTATATCTGTATTTTATTATTTATACGTATAAACATACAAATATTTATATATAAATATATTTTTTATATACGTATATATATGTATTTATACGAATAAATATAAGAGCATTTATATATAAATATAAATTTTATATATAAGTATACGATATATACGTGTATTTGTACGTACAAATATACGAATATATATATATATAACGTATATTTTATGTATACATATATATTATGTATATGTGTATTTGTATATACATATATACGAGTATTTTATATATAAATATGTATTTTACATATACATATATATATATATATATTAATATATTATATATTTATACATATCATGATATATACGAATATATATAATCGTGTATTTATATATATATATATTTATATATATACAAACATATGTTATATATATAAATATATATTTTATGTATGTGTATATACATATAAATATATACATATATATATTTGTAAGTATAAATATATGTATATGTATTAATGTTGTAATATGTCAGAAGTTTAACTTGGAACTGTTGGTTACTTGTCAATTGAAACTCTAAAGTTAAGCGTGTTTGAGGTGGAGTAGTGGAAGGATGGGTGATCTCCTGGAAAGTGGATTTCGGGGATTCAATTTCAGAATTTCCGATTCGGTTTAAGATCGCGGTTGGAGATTAGAGGTCGGGATTAGGGTTTAGGATTAGATTCGGGATCAAAAAAATATTTTTGGATCCAAAATACGTTTTAGTGACGCAAAAGTCGAGTCACTATTGCGTCACCCTTTGGTAACAGTTGGTGACGAAATCTGAATTGATGACGGTATGAATGGTGACGCTTTTGGTTGTGTTACTATTGCGTCACCCTTTGAAAAGGGTGACGCAAAAATACAAAAGGGTGACTCACCCTTTTGCTGTTTTCTTGTAGTGAATATGATTGATAATAAAAACTATTTTAGTTTATTTTCGATAAATAAGAATCAATATATCATATCATTTGGTTCACTATATTGATCGATTGTCGGTCTAAAGTCTATATATATCAAGTCCGAATTTCTGTTAAGTTTCTATAATTAATTTCCCCAATAACAAACATCAAATTCCAAATAGAGATGTCAATTGGGTTGGTTGAACTCATTTGGATCCAACCAATTTCGATTTCCAAGATAAACAGTTTTGATTGGATCGATCCGTTAATAACAATGAATTGAGTTGGGTCGATCCATTAAACTCATGTAAACCATTTAAACCTATTTATATATTCATATACTACTTATATATATAACTATTAATATGTATACTCGTATAAACTAGGGGTTGATATTTTAATAATCGATTTGGGTTATTCGATTCAATAAAAATATATACACAATCGGATATTATATTATAGGAAAAATTTGCATAAATGTACCAAAAAAAGCGTCTTTGCATTCTATACTTCTTCTATTGTAATATTTGTATTCTATACTTTTTAAGTTAAAATGACCATCATATCCTTCTATATTATTATAACCTACAGATTTCCTCCAATTATAAAAAACACTTGCATGAATTTCGTTTTCCTCCACATACATGTAAAAACACTTATATGGATTTTGTTTTCTTATATAAGTATAGAAAAACACTTGCACGAGTTTCGTGAAAAAACACTTACAGGTTAGCAGGTCATCAAGTAAGTAGGACAGCAAGTCATCACATCACCAGGTTAGTAGGTCACCTACTGCATGTCGCAGGTGACCTGCCCTAGGCCACAAGTCACGTACTGGAATATGCCGCCGTTTTCTGTTTCATGAATTTCATCAAATATATTGTGTGTAGAAAATAAAATGATCATATAAATACCACAAAAAAAGAAATCAGGCAGAAGAACGTTTGATTAGATGAGATAAATTGTAAGACATACAGAAAATAAAAAAAATATTAGAGAAAACAGAAGGACAAATCTCAAAATGCACTGATTTCTAAAAGATTATCACATAATCGCAGAGAGATATAGACGAGAATATTTGGTCCAACCAGCAAAAGGATCGAGAGAATAGGTAAATGGACATAGCCGTAGTTACCGTTAATTATCTGATCGCGTTTGCATTATGTTCAATGGTCGTAGTTATCGTTAATTATCTAGTCGTCTTTGCATTATGTTCGTAGTATAATCACGATCGTAATTATCTGGTCGCAGTGAAATCACGGTCGTATTTATCTGGTCATAGTGAAATCACGGTCGTAGTTATCTGATCGCAGTGAAATCACGGTCGCAGTTATCTGGTCGTAGTGAAATCACGGTCGCAATTATCTGATCGTAGTGAAATCACGATCGCAATTATCTGGTCCTAGTTATCTGCGTAGTGAAATCACGGTCGTAGTTATCTGGTCGTAGTTATCTGGTCACACGCCGCAACTCGCAGGCCGTAGGTATGACAGGTGTCGTAGGTGACCTACCGCAAGCCGTAGGTACCGAAGATGACCTACCGCGGGCTGCATGTCATCTATCACATCGTAAGTCATCTGTTGTGGGCTGTACGTCATTTACCGCAGAGCGTATGTTATTTTTCACAAACAACAGGTCATCTTCTACAGTTTTCTTTTACATACAGTTCATCAAACACCTTATGTGCATACAAACTGTAGGTGCCGAAGATGACCTGCCGCAGGCCGCAGGTCATCTGCCAGACCGTAAGTCATCTGTCGTGGGCTGTAGGTCATTTACCGCAGAGCGTAGGTCATTTTTCACAGACGGCATGTCATCTTCTACAGTTTTCTTTTACAGACATTTCATCAAACATCTTATGTGCATACAAGGCGTAGGTGTTGAAGATGACCTGCCGCGGGCCGCAAGTCATCTGCTAGACCGTAAGTCATCTGCCATGGACTGTAGGTCATTTACCGCATATCGTAGATCATTTTTCACATATGGCAGGTCATCTTCCACAAATATAGTTTGGGTATTTTAAAAAAATATAGTATACAAAAGTTATTTTTTTGTGAGATATTTTACAATTTTTATTTTTTTTACATTTTGCCAACTGCCTCTATATTATATTCGGTAATTTATGAAAAAAAAAATATACATTTTCTTAAAAAAAATCAGATTTTTCGAGTTTTTAAAATTCGATTCGATTCGATGTTTGAGAAATATTCACGTTTAGATTTTTTGAACGGTTCGTTTCAAAAACGACATCTAATTTTTCAATACAATTCGATTCGGAAATGGTGTTGCATTTTTTTGGTATGATTCGAGTTTTTCAATGCGATTCGATTCAGAATGGTATCGAGTTTTTTTTATACGATTCGATTCGTAAATGACACTGAGTTTTGCGGTACGATTCGATTCGGAGCGGTATCGAGTTTTTCGATACGATTCAAATTTTTCGTTATGATTCGATTCGGAAATGACACAAAAAATTTTGTTACGATTTGATTTGAAAATGGTACCAAATTTTTCGGTACGAATTGATTCGAAAACAACATCAAATATTTCGATTCGATATATATATAATCTATATATGTTAATATTTATATATTTAAATATAACAATTTTAATTAGTTACTAAATGGATTTAATTTTAACTAAATATATAATAGATTTAATGGGTTAACCATCTAACTCATGCTTTTAATGGGGCAAAACTCATTTAATCCATTTTATAATTTTAGTCAAATAGATTAAATGTTTGAATTTATAAATGAGTCGGCTTAAGTCGACCCGTATAACCTAACCCATATTGACATCTCTAATTCCAAAGTTGTAGGAAGCCAACACCTAATAGAATCAAGATTCAAAATTATGTGGTTTTCCTTCACTAGTTTTTATCACTCACACCTGCACAAATCAATGTTTGCTTCCAAGTATTTTTTTTTTTGAATTTGGCATATATATATATATATATAAATTTATGTGTATATATGTGTAGATTGGAAATATAGACCAACCAAATCAAAAGGTTCTTAAATGGTTAATTTCGTCCCCATAAATAAAATATAATATCTCCAAAGCGGCGACCCGAAAGCGATACAATGCCCTCTTTTTTTAATTTAATAATTCTCCAAGATTTTCGTGATTGTGACAATGTGCTTCCCATTTTCGACGGTCCATATTTATTTGGATATACATTTTTTTTAAATTTTGATTGATCTTTAATAATTAGAACCCGATGTGTGGATGATGATAACGGCATATATACATGGCGGTGACTCACCTGGCTCGTCAGCTGCAGATAAATTCTATTGGTGTTTCTCTGTAAACTATATTAATTTATTTTGATAATTAAATATAAACAATTTAGTAAACTCGCTACGTTCACCTAATTGCATTACCTACAACCAGCGTTTCGTTGCTTTTAAGTAGTTGCACTTGCCGACATATATGTAGGTAAAGATTTTATAATATAAATATATATATATATATATATAATTATATATTCAATATGGTTTTATCGTTTATTTAAATCCATCCGAATTTCTCCGATCTTTTAAAAGATGTAGTTTGGTGAATATCCAATGAATTTTTGAATTATAAAATAATTATATTTTTCTACATATATATATATATATATGTATATATGTATATGTATGAATGTGGGATGATAGAGGACATGGGCCATAATGTCCTGGTGGTCTTATCCCATCAATACTTATCTATAGTAATATATGCAATCAGAAGAATGGTATGGGCATGAAAGAAGCGTTTGGTAATAAAAGAAGAATAGATAACCATTATTTTTTTATTATAAAGTTTGAATATTGTTGGTCATGACGGACATGGGACTATCCGAAATAATTAAATCAACCGTCCATTAGAAATTTTTATAACCTTCAAGTTGCATAAACAAAATAAATCAAATATTTAACACACCCAACTCTTTACATTTTCACGAGTCGAAAGAGTAATTGCATCTTCATGTTGGCAAAGGCCGAGAAAGAAGGGGAAACAAGTGGAGACCATTTTGTTCTTTGTTTGGGTATTTTGTTACCCCTTCATCGTTACAAAGGCCGAACAAGAACTTGGAAGCCCAGACCCGACCCGGATCATATGCAATGACCGGGTCATAAAATAATGTTATAACACGGCCCAATCCAAAAAAATAGAGGCCACATCACCATTTTCATATAAAAAAAGGTTTTTTGATTTAAATATATTTTAGAAAGAAAAAACCTATATATATTATATCTACATAGAATGTAGCCTGTTGTACTACGTCATTTATTACCAGTTTACTTTTTTTTTAAATTATATAAACCGAAAGACAACAAAGTTCCTATTGGTTGAAATAGAAATTCTATCGTATCCCATCAAACCTTCATTGATGTATGGTAGTAAATGTTGGACGATAAAAAAATAATATATATCCAAAATGAGAGTGATCGAGATCAAGATGTTGCGATAGATGTGTAGACATAATAAAAATAGGATTAAAGATTAGAGTATTAAAGAGAAAATATAAATATTAGATATAGAAAGAAAATTACGAAAGAGATATTTAAAAAGTTGGTTTGAATATGTACGACACCAAATTAAAATGAGGCGTTGTTGTTGTTTGAATATGTACAATATAGATAAATAGGGTATATAAACGAAGATGAAAAAAAAAAAGATAAGAAGGATGGACCTAAACTTATTTGAAAATGAAGTATTAAGAATGATTTATTACAAATTTCGGATCTAATTTCAAACTAAAATGTATAAAAATCTATACGGCGTAAGCCGATCTTGAAGTTGATATACACATACACAGAAGAAAACACACTTTAGGGTTTAAATTCATCACTGCATCGAATTGGTGTTCCAATTTTATTTCATTTCTTATTCGATTTTTAAATGATAAAAATATTTTTAAAAAAAATTTGACTTAGCTCCACTTCCATCCACCCTAATACAATTGCATGTGAACTTGATGGAAGTAAACTCGGGGTCGAAGGTATCTCGAACAGCGATAGTCTCAGAAAATTCGAAATCATCCATTACGATGTCTGCAAAACAACGGTTCATATATGGCAAAAAAAAAACAATTCGGACCAAAATAGATGTCTATAAAGCTCAAGATGATGCTGATGCTGATTTCTTCGACTTGGTTGCCAACTGCGTTTCAGGCTGCAATTCCATAAACCACGAAATTCAGACAAGAGAAAGCTGATAGATAGATGGATCGGTAAATCATGGAGTGTCAGTTTTCTTACCTCTTTCTTCACGGGCTCTTCTTTCTCCGACAAAATCAACTCGATGTGGCATGGGGACGACATGAAGGCTGCAGGATTTAGAAACCGATTTTACCAACAACACAACGTAGAAAAATGAAAAGGGAACGTTCAGAAAAAGTGACATACGATTGATTCTTCCGTGGGCACGGTAAGTCCTACGCCTTTGTTTCCTAGCCTGGTTCACCTGAATGTGTGAAATGTGGAGGGCGTCCACATCCAAGCCCTTGACCTGAAATACAACACACCCAACACTTTATACTTCCTCTACGATTACCTGAGCAAAAACCTAGCCCATACAAACAAGAAAATAAAAACCCAGATGATATTTTACCTCGGCATTGCTCTCAGCGTTCTTGAGCAAATCGAGGATGAATTTTGCAGATTTTGCCGGCCAACGACCTTGGCCATTCGAATGCCTGTTCTTCGCCTGGGCGGTACGGCCAACACCTCTGCAGAAACGAGTGAATGGGATGGCTTGCTTGTGAGCTATCACATCTTCCAAGTACCTCTTGGCCTTTGTCAATGGAAGCTTCCTAATGGCATGTGCGGTTTCCCTTGTGTTCTGTTGTTCAAGATTAATAAAACACAATCAGATTCAATCATGAGAATCACAAAAAGGACGGACACATGCAACGACGATGATAAAAAGTGAACGAATCGAGAATGTGGCATCATTTAATGAACCTTCAGTCACTAATTCTACTGAGGTTCACCCAATAACAGTGCCAATGATCTCCCTGAAGTTTACGAGAGCCACGTTCACAAAAGGCAACAAAAGCCCTGCTTTTTTCATCAGGTTTCAAATCAACAATTGAACATAAAAACCCTACACACCTGAATTCAGACAGACATCTAACTTAGATGAATTCAGACAACACCAGCTCATTTGGATCTGAAGTGACACTTGATGAATAAATGACATATCTAAGCTCATGGATATATTACAACAGAAATGTACCATCATGGACTGAACCTTCAGCTACATATAAAAAGACATGAGGTTCACCCAATCACGATGACCCATTCGATTTCCCTGACATTTACGAGAGACCTGTTAATAGAATATGTAACAGAACCCTGCTTTTTTATATCAGGTTTCCTAGACCATACATCCAGACACAGTTCGTGTTCCTAAGACTTGTGAAAATCTTAACTCCGACAGCAAACCTAATGGCAAAGAAGATACGTATCAGAATCAAATGGCGAGAAATACCTTAAAGTGAACCCTGAGATCGGATCCTCTCGACTTGCAGGCTGCAAATATATACACAGGGAAAAGGATAGTGAAAATCAGATATTTCAGCAAACGCACACAGCTACAAACCAAATCCAGCGACATTCAAACGCGAAACAGAACATAAACAGCAGATCGAGATACAAAGAGACATTACACTTGGTGGGGTTATCGGGTTCTGCCGAGTACTTCACCTGCGCAAAAGCAAACGGAACATTAGAACAAACTAGAAGCAGACCAGTGATGAAAAGAATTCGAACTGGGAATGGGGTCGAAGATACGGGAGGAGGAGGTTACCATGGCGGCCGATTTTAGCGCTCTTCGACAGAAGAATAAGACGAAGACGGAAGGATTTTATACGGAGGAAATGGAAAAAAAAAAACCCTAGCTCTCTTATTTCTTGAGAGAGTAGCTTCTAAATGGGCTTACGTTTTAAATATCCACATGGGCCGGCCCATATTGTGATGCGGCCCATTTCATCTCGCTTGTTTTTTTTTTCAATTTATTATATAGCTAGGAGGATTACAATCTATTGTTATTTCACATTTTCCTTATTTATTTTCATATATATATATATATATATTTGAGATTTATTATCCTATCCGGTGGAAAATTGCTGAATATTTTGATTGCGCGGTCTATATCTAAATCATACGAGTATTTTCTCTGATATAACTAATTAATACTTAAGATTTGAAATATTATAAATTATACGTCCTTAATCAGGCACATTATATCAGGGACAAATCCGTCATTTTGTATTTTCCTGACACGGCAATATATCATTCCCCGAAGCACCATTGCCTACAGACAGACACGAACACGATCTCCCCAACACCAACAGCCTCTCTCCTCCAGTCGGAGAGCATTGTAATCTGGAGATTATTCGGAGGCGGAGATGAGAGTTCTGAGAACTCCATGCGTGGATGTCCGAAATCTCCCACCTCCGCCGTCCTCCTCCACCGCCGGCGTCGCCGTCTCCGGCCGTTGCACCGCCTTCTCCGACCCCTCCGCCGGTATGTACTCCCTCCCGCCGGAAATTTTTCTGGAACTCTCTTCGTTTTCTCCCTTTTCCACCGATCATGTTGTTTATGGTCCATCGCTGCAATCAATTATGCATCCGTCTCGCAAATCCATTGAATCGCAGGAATTCAAATCCATCTCGATCTATGATTTTGATTCCTTCATCAGAAACTGAACTGAAAAATAAGGGATTAGTTCTGCCGTACTTGTGTAAGAAGCACATGAGATCTTTTTCATTTTTAAGGCACCGAAATCATCATCATGAACTTGTCTTCCTCCGCGGCTTTGTCCTGTCTTTTTCCACGACGTGTAGTCGTTTCTTATAATAGAAGTTCTTAATTACATTTTGGCTTTCATTTGTGTAACTATCCTCTTCTTTCTTTTTGTTTTGTCAATTTAAAAATATCTCTGAATTCTCCAATTACTTGAAAAAAATAATTTTTTTCCTTCGAATAGTTTGATGTGAAGGGCTGGATGTTTCGGATTCGGTTTGGAATTTTATCGATTTGGTTCAGAAATAGTTTATTCGGTATTCTAAAATTTGTATCAAATTAGTACCATATTATTCGATTAAGTTTTAGTTTTGGTACAGTTTGTTTTCATTTATGTTAAAAATAAATTAGATGTTTGTAAAAAAAAATTCGGTTTTATAAACAATATATCAATTGCAAATTTTGAATGGTAGCGTTTAGAAAAATAAGGTTTAGAAAAATAAGGAGATTTTCGGGTTGGTATGGTTAGCCAAACGCCCACCCCTAGACGTGACTGGCTGATCACGATCTTGGTTATTATTATTATTATTATTATTATTATTATTATTTAAAGTGATTTTTTTATGCAAATAAATACTTTCGTTTTCAGTCATGTTTCATTCACTCTGGCAGTGGAGAACAGTAGCTACAGTATCTAATATTTGACCAACGACTCCCAACCGTCTGGCACTGATCTGCTTTTTTATCAAATAAATCATCTTTTTTTATTTTTAATCAAGGGAATCCAACATTTTTTATTCTTGTTAAATATATACTTGAAAAATCTAAATTATATATATACACACACACATACATATAGGTATATTGCCTGCCTTCACGACGCACTTGGATTTGGCACAATTATAAGGTGTCTATGTTAGGAGGAGCACCGAACCAAGACTTTTGTCTGTTGTAGTCTAATGTGGATGCTGCGTGGACCCTAGTGGGGGATCGCCCTAGGATTACTTTGTATTTAATATAATCGGACGGCTAGGAGATCGCCACGTGGCACATCATGAACAATAATTCAATCCAAGACGGTGAATTGCCGCGGAGAATAAAATGGCAATAATTCGTACCCTGAAATAAACGGGGCGCGTGGGATGAGTGTCCCCGACCAAACAGGATCATAACACGTGGACAAAACATTGGGCCCCACACCTCAATGGTAAATTATACCACTCGCTGCTAAGCGCGTGGACTACACTTTCTCAGTCCACTGAACGCACTCTGGTTTTGCTTTTTTGTTGCAAGGGGGGGAAAACACCGCATCTGACCATCATGATGTTATGTCGGCCAAGCCTCATAATACATGAATACTTTCAATTTATGCGATACATTACATCATATACACATAATGCTCTCAATCATATATGTTTTGTCTCTTGGTTATATATTATTCAAGTTTTAAGATACGAACAATAACTTGAATCTGTCGCTGACTGACGAGTGACTAAGCAGTGAAGTACTGTGTGTTCGAACTTCAAACATCTTTCAGGAAGTATGATTCTTCAGCTGTGAAGCAAAAGAGACTGTTTCTTTTTCCGTTCTCTTGAATGAAACCGTGGAAACAAAAGTTTATTCGTTTAAGTTGCATATTGATTTGGATTCGAATTGCAGAATCCGATGATACAACGTGTGGAACGCCCACGTGGAGGATCGGGAAGACGCTAACTTGCGTGTGCTTCAAGCGAAAGGGAGCTTATCAACGCATCTGCTCTAACTTGACGCCATTACAGGTGGTATAACCCATAGACAAAGAACTTCACTTGCTTTTAATGAACATTTTTTTAACTTTATCTGAGTTAGTGGTTCTTTTTAGGAGGAGAGACTGAAGAGATTGAAGCACAGAATGAAGGTTTACTTTGATGCTTCAAGGCCTGATCATCAGGTGAGCGGTTTTGTGTTCACCCGCGTAAAATGGACAGTATTAATTAGATCGATTAAGCCGTCGAAAAATGTAATCACATTGATCATAATATGCAAGTGAACGAAAAAAAATTGCATTGCATTGCATAAGCACAGGATCTATGGAAATCTCCGAGTTTATGTTTTATCACATGAGTTGGCACATAGTGTAACAGCCTTTATTTAGGTTGGTGTTTCAGACACCAATTCATGTCTGGTCGGTTATATATATGCATCTCAAATCAGGGGTTATCAGGACATTGAATTCGATATATTTTTTGCGAGGACAGGAAGCGTTGAGAGCCTTATGGTCTGCAACGTATCCTGGTCAAGAGCTCTCGGGTTTGATATCGGAGCAGTGGAAAGAGATGGGATGGCAGGGAAGGGATCCATCCACTGATTTCAGGTTTAAAACCCTCTGTTTCTCTTTTCATTCGTAAAACATTCGCAGTATATCCTTACATGTTGTATCTATACATCGATGTGTGTATGTGTGTGTGTGTGTGTATATATATCGTTATAAATTACAATATCTACATTTATAAACATGACAAGATTTACATGGTTATCAGAGGAGCGGGATTCATATCGCTGGAGAATCTCCTCTTCTTCGCCAAGACATTCCCGGTAAATTCTCTGAAAAAAACCCGAGATTCAGTTCTAACGTTGGTGAAAAATGTCTGTCTTAACGTTCTTTGAGCAGACGTCGTTTCAGCGCCTTTTGAACAAACAAGGAGGCAAAAGAGCGGCTTGGGAATACCCTTTCGCTGTTGCAGGCGTCAACGTAACCTTCATGATCATGCAGATGCTCGATCTCGATGCCTGTAAGCATATTCTTCAAAAACTGAATCAATATTTGTGTGTGTGTGTGCATATATATATATATATATATATATATATGGGTTACCTCTAATGGCAAATGGAACGTGGTTTTATTACATGAGTGAACTGTACTTGAGTTTTGAATCTATTTATGTGCAGCGAAGCCAAGAACCTTTGTCCGGTCGGTCTTCTTACAGATACTGTCCGGTAAAAAAAAAAAAAAAAAAATACATACATTAACCCTAAAGTAAATCGGCCCTTTAATACATTGAACTACAAAAATTAAATTGAGATTTTGCAGAGAACGAATGGGCATTTGATTTGCTCTACTGCGTGGCTTTCGTCGTTATGGACAAGCAATGGCTCGACAGGAACGCCACCTACATGGAATTCAACGTAAGATCTATTACATGCATGGTGATGATGGTGATGATGATGATGATGATGGTGATGGTGATGGTGATGATGATGGTGCAGGATGTACTGAGGTACACGAGGGCGCAAGTGGAGAGGGAGCTACTGATGGACGACGTGTTTCGGATAGAGGATATGCCTTCTTACTCGCTTCTCTCTTGATTAGCCTTTCATAATTTCATTTAGATTAGACCTTAAGAAAGAAGACAAAAAGGTTTATTTAACCTGTTGCGTATGGAAATTGGAATCTCCCGACCAACAAAGCTTAGTCTTCGAGTGGTTATTAGCTTGTCGACCGACACTTGGTCTGTTGACGTATAATTTTGTATTTTGTCATATTGGATTCCTGAGATGCAATTTGCTTATTTTATTGGGTAAACTTGGATACATCTTTGGTGGGTTTTTTTTTAATAATTTAGAAATTTACCGGTATTTACATCAGAATCGGAGAAGTTCATGTGGATGTCGTTTTCCAGATAAAAGCTTAAACCCGGATTGATAACGAGATTTATCTCATCCATTTACCTGTTGTTGGGTTGTCCCTCAACAGTCAATATCAATATACACATTGGATAATTACTAACATATGAAAACAATTTATCTAAAATTTAGTCTTTGTTAAATCTAATACACGTGCATTATACATTGGTTTAATTTGGATCTATTATTGATGAATTTGACGTAGTCTATTATCCTTTTAGTCAAATTAAATAATCTCTATTTTCTTTTATTATGAAGATACTATTCCATTTCCCTTTTGTCTCTTTCTATTTAAATCTTCCTACTTTAAGTCTCACTCACTACAAATTCCTAAATCCCTTTCTAAATATTTATTGAATTTTAATAATGTAAGATGAACGGATTTAATTTGTATGAAAACATGCAAATTAAATATATAAAAAAACTCAGAAGTTAAGCTTTGATTTTCGTTCTTCAAACCTTTTTCGTGTCCTTTTGTTTTAGCAGTGAAAGGCTATAGATATAGAAAGAATAAATGGAAAAAACCCTAAAAATTCCTAAACTTGTATTTTGGAATAATATTAATTCCTAAATTTGTAGAAGTGCGTATTAATTCCCAAACTTGCAAAATTGAACACATTAAATCCTAAACTTGTTAAACGGTTTCATATTCGTCCATAGCGTTATTTTGTCAAAAAAACGAGTTGACCGATCCGACATGGCACGTGACGTGGCGAGCCACGTCGGATCGGTCAACTCGTTTTTTTGACCAAATAACGCTGTGGACGAATATGGAACCGTTTAACAAGTTCAGGATTTAACGTGTTCAATTTTGCAAGTTTGGGAATTAATAGGCACCTCTACAAGTTTAGGAATTAATATTACTCCAAAATACAAGTTCAGGAATTTTTAGGGTTTTTTCCCTTATTCATACAAAACTTTTATTTAATTATTATTTACCTTGTTTTATTTTGGCAAATTAGTGGTTCTCATTTTCGGGTCAATACTAAATTGTACTCAAATAATTTTTTTTCTTTCTACTCTTCCTAACGAGATTGAAAATCATATTAAATTTCATATAATTTCTATGATAAATGAATATTTATTCAAAAGAACAGTTCATAATTTTATTTTTACTGAGAGAAAAGAAATAAAAGTTGAAAAAATATTCATTTGAATGTTAGAGACTTTTTTTTTTGCAATGTTATTAGTTTCTACTTGGAGAATATTTTTAAAAAATGCATGTCTTAATTAAGCATATAAGTTTGGTGGGTCCACGTTATTTACCCCCTTTCATTTTTTTCAAAATTTTTTGACGGAAATTATATTCTTTTTAATATAATTTTTT